ACTCTTGAATCTTCATTACAAGATTAGAAATAGGTTTAGAGTATTTGCACTTTAGTCCCTGAACTTTCACTTTCTTCGAGTTTGGTCCTTTTTCGCTTGGTTCACCTCAATTTCGCTACATTCATCACTTTGTCCTGCAAAACATAAATTGCATAGAATTAAGCTATATTCCAATATTTTAATCAACAATTGCTCATATTTTGACAGTAAAATAAGTATGTAAAAACACACTTATCACGATGTAAGGAATAAACATCTCGCGAATAGCTCTCAAACTATCGAAGTCTTATAAGCTGGTTTGGGATAGACGAGGTCTTACAGCTAAACTTGATAATAATGAGAAATGAAGAATAAACATCTTGCGAATCTATAAATAAGCATTTGGCAAGACAAGAAATAGACATCCCGCGAGGTGAGGAATAAACATCTTGTAAATAGTTCTCATCTTATAAGCAAGCCTCGGATAGATAAGGTCTTACAACTAAGATCGACGATTGTGAGAGGCGAGGAATAAACATCTTGCAAAATCAGGAATAAGCATTTGGTGAGCCGCGAAATAAACATCTTATGAGGTGAGGAATAAACATCTCGCTTTAGCTCTCAAACTATCAGAGTCTTATAAGCGACATCGAATAGACGAGATCTTACAGCTAAGCTCGACGATAGTGAGAGGTGGGGAAAAGCATCTCGTGAAACCAATAATAAGCGTTGGCGAGGCGGAAAATAAACATCCTCGAGGCAAGAAATAAACATCTCGCGAATGAGACCAAGAAAGGCTCATTTTCCAAGAGCAAACATGTTTGGTTAGGGCCACAAAGATGCTCTTTTTTCAAGAGCAAATATTTCGAGATTTCTCATCTTCGTTTATTCAAGGAACAAGGACTCCATAATATTACCTCTTACTATATTCGAGGAATAAAGAATCGATGAATGCCGCCTCTAGTAATAAGAAATCCACGAGCTTGAGTTCACATTCAATAATAAGAAATCCAAAAGCTAAGGCTCGCCTTCAATAAATAAGAAAACCATGAGCTAGAGCTTGCCTTCAAAGATGTGAAGTCATATAAGCTAGCCTCGAACATGTGAGGTCATAGAGCGTGCCTCGAATAATAAATATGATGATCAAAATAGGCTTTGAATAAGATAAATTTGAGCTGGGCATTTTATCGAACACTTGTAGGATACCCATATAACCAAAGTTTGTCATGAAATTTTCATATAATGGAGAACCATAAAAGGAAGCAAGAAAATGTCTACTTGGTGCCAAATTAAATTTGCAGCTTAATATGAACATACTGATATTATTCGGATGCTTGATAATGAATCCATGCATAACTTGCAAGTTACTGGTAAAGTTGCAACAAGCTTCCACGCTAAGTGATCAAAATTTCTAAATTGTAAAATTCCAAACTAGGCAATTTGTCAAACACTTTGTGTGCACTTGCAAATATAATTCAAATGATGTTTTTAGTCCATCTACGACATCATCAAGAATTACAGTAGCACAATTCACATACTTTCACAAATCATCATCATGGATATTATTTAACTCTTACACAAATTAGATGGTATATCGCTAATAGAGGGATTTTGCCATTATCTATCTTCTTCAATGTTGAGGCCCCAGTGGAAAGCAACAAGCAAAAATTGAAAAAGAGATATGTGCACGCTCTAATTCACTTTAAATGGGGATTTTCAAAATAGCCTGTAGCATTAATAAAGTACCAAATATTTCCTGAACCTATTCAATTTTGAAGTAGCAGCTGGAATACATTAAAGCTTGCAATGAATTTGGCCGAAGAGATGCAAATTAAGAATTATACCATCTTCCTTTCTCACCTGTGTAGTCATCATTGTAATTGCCAAAATGGACTTCTATTTTGGGTAGCATCTTCCGAAATCGTAAAGGACAAACCATCAAATTTATGATGTCATCTTAAAATAAGGGAAAAATAAGGTTTTGTACCTTTCATTTAATTGTAAACTTTACCCAAATCTTTTATTTGTACCACCTGAGGTATCAAACCTTTAAAAAAATTGCAACTTTAGTCTAGATTAACGATTTCCATCTATTTGACTGCCAAAATCGTTTGTTGCAAAATGGGAAAAAAAAAATTAATAATTTTCACCAAACAGACAAGGGCAATTTGGGCATTACACACTTTTCCTTTCTATTGTCATTCATTTTCCTTATTTTCACTTCAGCATTAGCTTCATTCCATCTATCAGCTTTTACACTTTCTCCAATCTAAACCCTGCTCACGTGGTTGGCTGATGCCGCCTTTTCTGCAGAGTCCCTGCCTCGGCTCCCTCTACCCTACTACCACTATACAACAGTCTCCTATCCTTCAGCTCCTTAATAGATAAGGTCATCAACCATCTCAAGAATTCGGGCATCCGAGTCCGACAGGGGATATCCGAAGGAAAATTTGCATTAGCGAAGGAAGAGTTTAGGTTCACCTTCCTAACAAACCTCAAAGATATGCCATCGGCTGGTTTGCCTCTAGGACCTAGCTTCCCCGACTGGCACTAGTCTTGTTTTGCTCGCCTCAACTCCATGCCTCCATTGACCTACCAATCGCTTCAATTACCTTTCACATAAAAAGGAATGCTTTGTGGTCCAAGTCCTAGGTCCGTGCCCATTTTCATCACTGATTTTATCCATGAGGTCTTTATCTATGCCAGAAACCACAACTGCATACATTCATCTCCATCTATGTGCGGATTTTACTTGACTAACTGTGGGAAGGAGAAGGATATTAATAGTGATGAAAATGGATGCAAATTGAATAGTGAAGTGTAATAATAGAAAAGGAAAGTGTGTAATGCCCAAATTACCCTTATCTATTTGGTGAAAATTATTAATTTTTTTTCATTTTTGGGGTCAACTAACGATTTTGGCATTCAAATAGACGGAAACCGTCGATGTGGACTGGAGCTGTGATTTTTTTAAAGGTTTGGTACCTTATGTGGCACAAATGAAAGGTTTGGACAAAGTGTACAACTAAATGAAAGGTTTGGTACATTGGCCGCAATTTTCTCTTAAAATAATCGATTGTTGGCGAAGCATCCTGGTTGCTGGAGAAGAGCCAACATTGAATAGAAATGGCGTGCATCATAAACCTGTGAAGGTAGAACAATTGCAATGGACCAACAATAATAATCCTACCAAAAAGGGCCCATTGGAAAATAAATCCTAAGTCGAATCCACATCTTGAAAGAGGAGTAAAAGAAATCTTCCAATTTTATTTTATTTTATTATTTTTTTAAACCCAAACTACAAATCAGGACCCAACCATAGAGGCCTATGGTTGCAGGTGCCCACAGATTTTAATTTTTATATTTTTCATGTCTCACAAGTTGAACCGCCTCAATGGGGTGGTTGGATGCCATAAAACTCAATATGTTTATCTTTATACAACAAGGCTTGAAGTTGAGATCCCATCTTTCCCAAAGAGATTTTTAAATCAAATTTTGGAGAAAAATAATGGCTTCCCTTTTGTGAATTCGATGCGAGAATATACGAAAGAAAATTATTTCGATGTGCTCTGTTTTTAATCCTTGTGGCTGGTTTCATGTTGTCATTTGGTGTTGGTTCCTTCCAAAAATATGGGTGAAGCAATAAGGAGAGCAAACAAAACATTTTCTGAACAAATCCACCAGCGGACGTTTTCTTTAATAAATCTTAGTTTTGTTGACCATCTTCATGACGAGTTTTTTCAACCATTAACCGACAATAAACATTTTTCATGGAGGATTTTTCCACCAGGATTCACTTGTCGGAAAGCATCCTTTTTTCAAGGAAATTTTCACATGCTTCTAATGAACTTCTTCTTCATTCTTTGGAGGCTGGCCTCTGTTTTTGTTAGAGAAAATTGTTCAAAAAAACATATTTTTGGGTGGCTTTCGGATGTGGTGGAAACATGATTAAAGCATCGTTTTTCACAGATGGCGGCAATCTGTTGACCTAAAAAATGAGCCAACAGAATTCCGACCAACTCCTCCCCACATAGACATCACCTGCACACTGAAACACCCTTTCAGAGGGCAAATGGTACCGATCTAGAAAAAGGTACGACGATCGATTGCATTCTGACGGTCAAATTAACTGGCCGGATAAGAGCAAAAGAGAGTGCAAGAGAAGAGGGGAGATTTGGCCAGGTTTAAAATTTATTACCTTGATTGTAACATGAATCGCATATAAGTCGGGTGGGGCTGATAGGTCGAGTTTCAAGCCCAAAATGAAGTTGTTTAATTAAATAGGCACAATCAATTGAATAGTCAATGGCGCATCTTCATATATGGGACCCCATCCATCACGCTCATGTTGCGTAATTTATAGGTGTAACAATGTTCATAGTACAGCTAAAAAATGGAAAGTCATACTACATTTACACTTTTTGTAATATGTATTTATTCAATATTTGACCACATATATTTTTATTTATGGAGTACATTTTGGAATTTGTTTAAAGAAATTAAAATTTTGGTTAAGTATAACTTTGAACAAATGACTTAGCATCAACTTTATGCAAATATTCGAACTTGATCCACTGGTCAAATTACAAATATAAATAGATCAACTTCTTTTACTCGTCAAGTAGATCGGAGTAGTATATTTGAAATCTCAAAACCAAATTCGGATGAATGAGAAATTGTGGTCGAAAGTTGGAAGGAAAACAGAGGAAATACTGGCTGGAAAAGTGACTATCTCCGTCGCTCGCCTATCGCTCTAGCGAGGAAGCTGTCGCTCGAGAGATAGCCTAGTGACAGGCAGGCAACAGTGGTTCTAATTTTATCGCTTGAGTGAAAAGTCAGCGACAGGGTGCAACAGCAAGAATTGCTTCTGTTCGTAAAGTTGCGAGGATTGGCTCGCAACATTTCGTCCACAACCCTTCATACTCTATAAATAGGACCCTTGAGACATATTTTTCTTCACACCAATGATATGCAATCATAGCATAACATTCTCTTCTCTCTCTCAACCAAATTTTGCATATATTGTATGAAATTTCGGTTTTCTTCATTTTTGCATTAAGAAGTACATAAACCAAATTCGGGTTCGTTGTTCTTGTGTGTTGAAATGCTACTCCCACAAGAAGAAGTTGTATCTTGAGAGTTGATTGCCATAGACTGTAGGCACTGTTGTGGGGCAAATTTGATTTAAGAACAGAGTGTTCAACACTTGTTTCAACTTTGCATCCATTTGGCGTTATTCATTTGAAGTTTCATTGTCGTTACTCTACCGTAATTCTAGCAGAAGTTTGATAAAGATTCTACGGGCGTTTGTTTATCACTTTATACACCATATCAATCCAACAATCTTAAGTCAAATTTTTTGGTTGTTGGAGTGACCCTTTTGTTTTGGTTATACTATTATTTGGTATAACTTCTTCTACTCTTCTTTTTATTTGGTTTATCTTCTATTTTGTGTAAACAGAAATGAATTCGATTTTTAATATCAAATTTACTTCAAATGGCAATTCAAATATGGAAACTTTGGAAGGAATTGTTCATACTGGTATAATCCCTCCATTTTTTAATGCCCCTCTAAACTCTGTTGCACATGGAGAGAAATCAGAGAAATTCATTGGGGCTAATTTCAAGAGATGACAACAGAAAATGTTATTCTATCTCATGACCCTCAACTTGACAAAGTTCTTATATGAAGACATTCCCGTCATACAAGAAGGGAAAAACAATAAAGCATCATTAATTGTTTTGGATGCTTGGAAACATTTAGGTCATGTTCTCTTTGTCGTTTTCAAGTCGTTTTCTATTTTTAATTTTTCAAAACAACGAAAACGCGTTCTCTATCTTATTTTCGAAAACGCGTTTTGAAAAATGAAAAAAAAACTGAAAACAGAAAATGAGTAAAACATCGTTTTGGAAAATCTAACAACAAAACAAGCAAAATTCACAAAACACGGGGAAACACATTTCTCAACTCTCTCCCTCTCCCTTCCCCGAAGCTCTCCAAATCTATTTCCTCTCACAAACCCACGGGCCACAACCAAACAACGAAAACAGATCGTGTTGCCAAATTGAAGGGTTCTCTACGGGATCTTCAAATCAAGGTTTTGAGCTGGTTTAGCCGAATCGAAGTCGACGGGCTGTTTGAATCAAGGTTTCGCATTTTCAAATCAAGGTTTTGATTCTTTGCTTGTTATAATCTTTGGTTATTTGCTTGCTATTCCATGTCATAGCTGTTGGGTCCTATTTCACCTCTGTTTTTTTATTTGTTGGGTGTAAAAATTGAGGCTGGTTGGATAATAGTGGGGACGGTCAATTCGCAGGGGGAAGGATAGATGGTGGTGGAGGTGGAATTGCAGGGGGAAGGGTAGCTGGTGGTGGAGGTGAAATTGCAGGTTATGTATGGGTGCTTTTTCTTTTTCTTTTTGGCTATTCTAGGCATAAAGATCCATAAATTGATTTCGCAGAGCCATTTTTGTTCCTGAAAATTTCATTCCCATGGTCCACCTATTGAAATCACCAACTTATGTGGAAATTCTATAAACTCCTGCAATCAGAATGCCGTTTGTTTAGTTACTTCTGTGAAGTGGGTATCCGTGGGGATATGTCGAGAGAGCTCAGATTTAAATGGGCACGGGAGAAGATGGAGGAAAGTGAGTCTCACTGGAAGGGTATTTGCATTTCACTCAAATGCCCATTTCAAATTGTGGTTTTTAGGGGTGGTGGGCTATGATTAAGTGAACTAGACAAAGGTCCCCATTGTCCATCCCTCCATTTCTTCCCCTTTAAAGATGCAAACTTTTTGTTTTTTAATCTTCCTTGTTTGTTCTTATGAATAAGACTGATGAAGATGAGTATGCAAGATTTGTTTGATAGTTTGTACAGCAAAGCAGTGATCTAAAATTCCCATTTGAGGAATCTTTTTCCCAAAAATGTTAAGCAGATTAAAGAGTGGAGAAATGGAGTAAATCTAAGTTCATTTGAAAACTATTTTTCTTCAATCATCACAATGAGGAAACATGGATGGCAGCTTCCCTACCATCCACTCCAGGTATCTTTTTTCTCTCTTAGTATGTGTATGTGCTGATCTTTTTTCCCTTTTGTACATAATCCAAGTGTTTTGAATTCTGGTGTATCATGCATGTGTGCAGGTGGTTGCTGTTGCTGTATTTCTAGCATTGGGATTTGCTTTCTATGTTTTCTTTGCGCCTTTTGTGGAAAGCAATTGTTTCAATACATAGTGATGGGGATTTATAGTCCTCTTGTAAGATCAATTTGCATTCTTTATTAATATTATTTTCTATTTCCATATATATATGTTTCTTTAATGGCTGTAAAGAGCTTAGATCTGTATTCTCATTGCTTTTTGATTGATCTTGATTCTGTGCCCAGGAACCCCAATCATTCATGGATTAGTTACATTTTTACTCTTCCATGGTGTTTTCTATTCTGTTTTTAATCAACTTTTTAAGAGGATAAGCCCAAGTTCTTATACGTTGTTTATGTTTTTTAGATTTAATCGACTTGGAATTTCACTCTTTAACACCTTGGAATGAGTTTGAAAACATTCAATTTTATTAAAAACCTGTCACTTTTTAGCTGATAAGGAAAATTGTGCTTGTCCTTTAGCTTTTGGTTGCATATTTGGAGCCACAAATTTCACACTCGAGATTTTCAATATCTTCCTTCTAAAGATCAAATTTTGTCTGTTGTATTTCAAAAGCCTTGCAGTGATTCAGATTTTGATCTTGACTACCAGGTTATTCTGAGATATCTTCAATTCGGGTTCCTGAAAACTTCTACGGAGTAAATAAGGTTATGCCTACAATCCACTGGGAAGTGGGTATTTCCCTGGCATCATGCCAGCACTGCATAACTATCGCCCAAGACTGTTCGTTAAAATGTACCTAACATAAACTAAAGGACTATTTGCTTTTGCACTCCAGTAATCTTCTTGTGCGTTTATGAAAAGAAAGTAGTGCTCACTTCTTGGGGGTGAAGAACCTAGTTTTTCATTTTTCCTTTTGTGTTTGTGGGAGTCTCACTGGAAGGAAACATTGTTGTGAAAAGGATGGATACGAATCTTCAGTTTTATGGTGATCCATACCTTACTACAGCTGATATCCTTCTTGGGACTGTGGATAGACCGAAGGCTGCTGAACCATTGTATGCTGCCCTTCGAGATCTTTACTGCAAACTACAGTGCTAGTTCTTGATTTGCTCACATATAATTATGCTTGAAGTGGCCTAAATTGAAATCTTTGTAGTTCTTTGATTATATATATGTTGGCATTGTTCCTTGTTTGCTGATGAAATATTTGGTAGATACATGGTACGATCTTGTTCTCAAGGTTCGATGTGGTAAAACAAATCTTTCGGGGACTCGGTGGTATATCTGCTATCCCATTCTATCGATATGTATTTTTTTTTTTTTATGGTCAGAGAAGGATTACGATGCAAGGTGTCAAAACTTGTACATAGACCATAAATACTATTTGTTGATATTTGACATTATGTATTGATGGAATTCAATCTATGGTAAATTGCTTTACTTTTTTTACTGTATTTTTGTTCTATGAGCTTTATGATTTCTTCGAGAAGCAGATTTTGCAGTTGAATTCTATACCGAGTCAGTTAGCAACTTTTTACATTTGATCAAAAGTTGGCTTTAATACTGCAGGGTGGGATTGGTGGTAAAATTTATTTTTGGGCAATAAATTTAGCAATTAATTATCCTAAGCGATGGAAAAGAACTTTGGTTGACTTAAAGAAATGCTTGTCTGATGTTGATTTTTTAAAACCCAATTCTGCATACAACTTATTTGGTGTTTGGCACAACATTTGGGTGTTCATATCAATTGCCACTGTTTCTTTTTATTTTATTTTATTTTTTTCAGTGTTACTCGTAAATTTTGAAAGTGTGAAAGATAAATGAAGTAACTATATTTCAGAAAATTCCACATTTTGAGCTAAGATTCAGTGATTCACTCAAAATATTGTTCCCTTTTTAAAAAGTTTTCACAATCTTCTTTAAACGTATGTATTAGTTTTCTACATTGGTCAATGACAGAAATATCTATGGTGATGCTCTTTGAATTATGTTGGTTAAAATGATGTCTTTTATGTTAGTGTGTTCAGACATGTATCTCTGTAATATGAAGCCGTAAATGAATTTTCTTTTTCCTTCACGAACTTGGGACTTATGTTGCAACCAAAGAGCATTAGTTTTGATGCTAGTCAAACAGTTCAAATGGGACAAGTTCGGGATCAAATTATTACTACTCTAGACGTCATACATAATTTAGGTTGTGATTTTAATATTTGGAAAAAAAAATTTAAGATTCATTAACTTCATATATGTTATTTAATACTATATTAACATTACACTATTAAAATTTATTGAATAATCAAATTTTTTGAATAAAATATTATAAAAAAAATTATCAAAATTTCAAAGTAAACGCATTTTTCATTTTTATGTTTTCGGAAACAGTTTTTCAGAATGGCAAAAAAAACACATTTTCAGAAATTTCAAAACAGACACTCAAAACACAAAACACAAAACGAATTCAAAACTCAAAACACAAAACTGAAACACGAAGAGAACAGCACCTTAGTTTTCTTGTTCAAGAATTATATTCTTAATGGTTTGGACAACTTGTTATATAACGCATTTAGTTCCAAGAAATTTGCGAAGGAACTATGGGAGTCCTTGGAAAAGAAATACAAGACTGAAGACACTAGAACAAAAATGTTCATCGTTTGGAAGTTTTTGGACTACAAAATGGTAGATTCAAAGACGATCATCACTCAAGTGCAAGAATTGTAGGTTATTCTTCATGATATTCGCATGGAGAATATGTCTCTAAGTGAATCATTTCAAGTGGCTGCAATCATCGAGAAACTTCCACCCATATGGAGTGACTTCAAAAACTATCTCAAGCACATGCGCAAAGAAATGAACATTAAAGAACTTGTGGTCCAATTGAGGATTGAAGAAGACAATCGAAGTTCGGACAAGTATGTTGGGAATCACATACCACAAGCCAAGGCTAATGTGATGGAATCCATTAATAAAAGCAAGAAGATGAAGTATTTTGTTGAACCTTCACAAAGAAGTTCAAGTATAATTGCTACAATTTTGGAAAGGTAGGACATCGCTCTGTCGATTGTCGCAAATCGAGAAAGAAAGCCCAATCAAATATCACTGAATCCGATGTTATATCAAATGGTATATCTGATATGAATTTGTCAACCGTTATTTCAGAGTGCAACAACGTTAGAAACCCCATGGAATAGTGGGTTGATACGGGTGCTACCCGTCTCATATGTGCCGATAAAGGAATGTTCATTTCCTATACTCCAACCACAGGAGAGAAACTGTTCATGGGAATTCCTCAAGTTCAAAAGTGGAAGAACAAGGCAAAGTGATATTGAAGATGACATCGGGGAAGGAACTTAGCCTAAACAATGTTCTTTACGTACAGGATATTCGCAAGAACCTAGTTTCAGGTTCTTTATTAAGCAACAATAGCTTCAAAATAGTCTTTGTATCGGATAATTTTGTACTTACCAAGAGTAACATGTATGCAGGCAAAGGCTATGTAAAAGATGGACTATTCAAAATGAATGTCCTAACTGTTGTTCCAAACAATTCAAGCAATAAAATATCTTCTTCTACTTATATTATTGAGTCGTCTAATTTATGGTATCATAGATTAGGAAGTGAAAACTTTAATTCAATACATAAGTTAATGAATTTAAATTTACTTCTAAGTATACATTTTAATAATGGAAAATGCGAGATATGTGTAGAGGTAAAATTGGCCAAAACACTATATCATTCGGTTGAACGAACCACAACCTTTGAAATTAATTCACACGGATGTGTGTGACTTAAGGTTCGTATAAACAAAAGGTGGTAAAAAGTATTTCATCACATTTATAGATGATTGTACAAGATACTGTTATGTTTACTTGTTGAAAAGTAAAGATGAAGCTTTGGAAGTGGTCAAACACTATAAACTTGAAGCTGAAAACCAACTTAGAAAACGAATAAAAATGATTCGTAGTAATAGAGGTGGAGAGTATGTTGCACCGTTTAAAGAATTTTGTGCAGAATCTGCGATTATTCATCAAATTACTTCACCATATTCACCTCAATCTAAACGGGTTGCTGAATACAAGAATTGAACCCTTAAGGAAATGATGAGACTTACCTCAAAACTTGTGGGGGGAAAGCTATCCTTTTGGAAAATCTTATCCTTAATAAAATACCACAAAAGTAATGTTGAATCACCTTATGAATTGTAGAAAGGTCGAAAATCTTCCTACAAATATCTTAAAGTGTGGGGGTGTTTAACAAAAGTACGGATACCTAAACCAAAACAAATAAAGATTGGACATAATACTATTGATTGTGTCTTTATTGGATATGCAAACAATAGCAGTGCATATCGATTTTTGGTTCATAAGTCTGATATACTTGATGTACATGAAGGTAAATCAAAGAATGTTGTATTCATTGAAGATGTCTTTCCTTGTAAAGAGAAAGAAGTAAGTTCACACAAACGAACTTACAATACTACAATTAGAAACTATCAATAAGATACTAATCATCAAGAAGATAAAAAACCAAGTAGTAGTAAAAGGCAAAGGATTCATAAGACATTTGGTCCAGAGTTTTTCACATATATACTAGAAAATGATCCTATGACATTTAATGAAGCCATGTCCACTCCTGAAACTCGTTTTTGGAAAAAAGCTGTTAATAATGAAATTGAATCCATCATGAACAGCCATACTTGGGAATTGGTTGAACTTCATCTAGGGAACTAAGCTTTAAGCTGTAAATTGATCTTCAAAAGGAAATTGAAATCGATTGGATCAATAGACAAGTATAAGGCTAGATTAGTAGCCAAATGGTATAAACAAAAGGAAAGACTAGATTTCTTCGATACATATTCACCTATTACAAGGATCACGTCTATACGTGTGTTGATTGCTATCGCTGCATTGCATAACCTTGAAATGCATCAAATGGATGTTAAGACTACATTTCTGATTGGTGAATTAGAAGAATAAATTTATATGGAACAAATTGAAGGGTTTGTTGTTCCTGGAAATGAAAAGAAGTTGTGTAAGCTTGTAAAATCGTTATATAGATTAAAACAAACACCGAAACAATGACATCAAAAACTTAACAAGATTATGCTGTCAAATGGTTTCAAAATCAATGAATGTGACAAATGTGTCTACATCAAGACCATACCTAATGGATACGTGATCGTATGTCTATATGTTGGTGATATGCTAATCATGGGAAATAATTCGAACATTATTACCCCGACCAAGAAAATGTTCATAAAACATTTTAACATGAAAAATATGGGAATAGCTGATGTGATATTAGTGATTAAAACCTCTAAAACATTTGATGGTTTGTTATGGTCTCAATCACACTATATTGAGACTATATTTAAAAAGTTTAAGGCATATAACGATAAACTATTTAAAACACCAGTTGACTTAAATTTATACTTTATCCAAAAATACTGGTGATCTCGTATCTCAATTAGAATATTCACGTGTTATAGGCATCTTGATATATATTACCAATTGCACGCGTCCTGATATAGTATATGCAGTCAACAAGTTGAGTAGATTTACGAATAATCCAAGTTATGACCATTGGAAAGCATTAGACCGAATTCTTAAATACTTAAGACACACAATTAGTTATGGATTACACTACTCAAGATATCCTGTAGTGTTAGAAGGATATACCGAAGCAAGTTGCATATCAACACAAAGGATTCAAAGTTTACAAGTAGTTATGTGTTTACCATTGGTGGTGAAGCTGTATCCTGAAAATAGTCTAAGCAAACTTGTATTGCTTTAGATAAAACCGGAGAAAAAGCGGAATGGTTTCATAATTTTCTCGAGGATATTCCATGTTGGGAAAAATCGGTACCTGCGATTAATATATATTTTGATAATCAATTGGTTATTGCAAGCGCACAAAATAGTATGTATAATGGTAAATCTCGACATATTCGTCGAAGACATAATACCATTAAACAATTTATATCGAATGGTATAATCTCTTAATTATGTTAAATCAAAAGAAAACATAGTGGATCCCTTAACGAATGGATTAACGAGAAATCAAGTATACCATCTTTTTAGGGGAATGAGCCTAAAGCCTAT